GCCGCGTTTCCAGGGTCTGCAAACAGCTGTGCAGCAGCTACGGGGGGGGGGGGGCGACCTGCGCTTGGAGTGCCCGCAGCTTCTTTGCTACCCAGCTCATCCTACCTGCACTGCCGTGGTGAGACAATTCCGGCTACCCCAGCTTATAGGGGAAAATATAATCCAGCCATTCGGGCATATCCCTCCCCTCTCCTTCCAGCACTTGAATAAGATGTGTAACTAAGGTGTACCCATATATGTTTAATGTGTTATAACCACTCCTTTTGAACCTCCTGCCCCAAATTGCTTTGTTTTCCCCACAATAAACCTTGCTGTTGTTAGAAATTTAGTAAGCACTGAGCGAGTTATTCACTCAAAAAAGTCGGGACATAAGTTCCTGTATCCTCTGTGTGAGGCGATACCCACGTGTGGATCTCTCAGCAAATCCTGATAAGTTAATACACTCCAATAAGGAGATATAATAGGTCACGGATCGTGACAACACTTATGTTTTAATTTTCAGAAATGCTGTTCATTTAAATGGTCTACTATTTGCTTATTTATTTTATTTATTTGAAGCTAGAAATATTGATAAAAGACACTATTAAACCATATTTTGGGATGATTTATTTAAGAATTAGAGTCTAAATAACCTACAATTGAAGGCTAAGATAAAAGAAAGTAGAAATTAAAAGTTGAGAATACCAGTCCCTTAGTATTTTTTCAGGATTAAAGAAAAAAAAAAAAAAAAAGCATTGCTATATTGCTTCTTCTTTCATACAGGACAACAGAAAAAGAGAATGAACGTAAGACAATTGCAATGTTTCCCAGATTTCATTCACAAGGGTCATAATTGTTTTCTGACAGAAAGCAGTAGTGCAAGAAATAAATGTAACATCACTGATAAAATTGGAATTGCACTAAAACAAAGAGCCCCATTTTAAATCAAATTCAAGTATCAATTATTCTTTTATCTGGGACAGTGATAAAGTAGGCAGTATTATACAGTATTGGAAATACAACAATTATTGTTTCAGATATTAATCTGAGGCCTCTTATTAAATGTACAGTTTCATTGAGTACTGTCCATTTCCTCCAGTAGAATATATTGCTAGAGAGGCAATATGAACAAGCTAGATTTTTTCCTCATTGAGAATTTTTTCCTTATTTTTCTCATCTATAAGAAGAATCTGAAAGAAGATATTGTTTCCAAATATTGAAACGTGTTCCTTCAAATGCCATCCTTCCAATAAAGAAGGTATGCTGGCTAAAACTCTAATCTTAACACAGTTTTTTGTCATAAAAAGATATCTCTCCTACTCTGCATGCATAAAATTTACTTTGGTATGTAAAAAGCAAGATGTCTGAACAATCATTATTGGATATAAAAATATAATGTGGAGTTTCATTAATTTTATTCAAATTTGTGTAGCCTGAAAACGAAACACCTAGAACTGTGAAATGCATGCAGCTCAGCAACCAACACAATGCAGACCAGCTTAACCACTTGCTGCTTCTTACATTTGGAGTTTTTAGCCCCCTATTTCTACACTGCGAATTCCAAAATTAATTGCCATAGCAACAGGCACCTCAGGCTTAATTTCCAATGCAGATAATCTTTTTGATCATGTTATTCATGCATAACCCCTCAGCTCCTGATCTGCAAGGTATCACAAGTAATTTTATGAGGGTGTGGAGGGAGGAACAGAACACTCAGGTGTGACACATGGGCACGCAGGGGTCAGGAAACGGCCCAACCTCAACCTCTGCTCTACAGCTAGTTATTTTCTCCTATACTTTCATTCAAAAGCAAACAGCTGCTGTTGAAAAGCCAGACTGCTAAGATTAGTTATCCTGTTAAGACTGCTTATTCTTGAACTGTAAATAGATACACAGCTGATTAAAGCTACCTTTAAGCAAGTTTTTAATTTGACTTACTTACAACAGACTTTAAATAGGAGTTCCTTGAGGCATGTGTCAGATGGGCATTATGCTGCTGGTTTTTGGTGAGGAAAATAATCCATTTTTGCCACAGTAGAAGGTATGAATAAGCAAAATTTTGTCCCCTGAGAAATCTGAAATAAAAAAGAAGCAGTATATTAATCACTGTACTTATTCCATGCTATTTGAATAATAATGATAACTGGCAAAAATCAGCATTACCTTTTTATTAGAAGTCTTAATGGTCGTATGCAGATAAATTACTATTTTTGATAATTGGCATCAAGATGATTACTTGAGTACAACCCAGACAATTGAGGGAAAAAAAATAATAATTCTGAATGTACCAAAAATATCCCTATGGCTATCCTACATGAAAATGCTAATTAACACTTATGAATTCCTCCAAAAGTTCTTTCTTAAGGTTGATCAAATATACCTTTGTAAGTTTTTCTTTGCACAACCTATCAAAACCCAAGACAAATGAGCTAGTGAAGAGATATCCAGGACAGTCATTTTCTTTCATGGGCAAAAAAGGACAAACATGAAGAAAGAAGGAACAGAATCTCATGGAATTTATTTTCCAAAGCAAAAGCACTTCCCCTTACATATCATCTACTCCTGTCTCTTAAATATAAATCCTACTGCTTGCAAATACACAATCCAATTACTCTAAGCTTCACCTTATTAGTTTAAAAGGCATTTACAATCACTTTTACTGTTTCTGTTTTTTTAACTATTCACAAAACTCATATACTTGTAACTAAACCCAGCCTTATCAAAATCAGGAAATCTGCTCAAATAATTTCATCCTAGAGAACATTCCTTCTGATAATGCTTTTAAAACGGATACAAATAAGGCCTATATTGTTTATGACTTTGTAAGAATTATTCTATGAAAACAGAACATTATTTCTCATCATTTCTAGAACACATGTGGAAATAACCAAATCTCAATAGATAACACTCCTTATGCAAAAAATCCCTGTTAGCTGTATATCAATTCAACTGTAACATGAAATGTTTGCGAGTTAATACATTTTACTTAAGATTCCTAGCTTTCTTGCCAGGATCATACATGTGACCAAAGAAGTCTCTTCAATTCTTTTTTGGAACTTACTTATGAATGCACGACATTGCAGATAACCTCATAGAGAAGCAGACTATTTTAAAGTTCAGAATAGCATAAAAAGAGTAATTTCATACATTGCAAAGAATATATAAGCAGCAGCTAAACTGCATTTGCCTATGACCCTCATCTTTATCACCCTCAGAGATCTTAAAAAAATAACTGTAAAACCCTCATCAACTTACAGAAATAACTTTTAATTGCTCTAACACCTTCAAGGATACTTCAACTGCAAAGGATAGAAATAAACACTGACTGTGAATATGCCTCAACGTTTTCATGTATACCACATTAAAAAACTGAAATACCTACATAGTGAAACACCTACTAGCTATGAAGAAATAATGAAAAACTCTTCAAAAATCGATTTTTTTTTCTCCTAAGGAGATGTGACTTTTATCACTAGGCTGGAAATAATCAGTCAGCATATATTCAGTTTTTCTGCTACCTATTAACAAACAATTGAAACATTTTTATAGTTTTGTTCAAGGCACCAGCTGAACCCCTTCCATCCAACACATAACCTCCTACTTGAGTTTAAAAGGATTCAATACACATGCTTGCAGTATTTTCATATTTTTTAGCAAATCACAATGTACCATTTAAAGTACACTAAAAGTTGTACCATTTAGTTTGCTGTGGTCTAAAAGATTACTATGGATACTATGATTGTTAGGGCAGGGGAAATGCATGCAGCTCAGCCTTTTTTTTGGCTCTTCTCACACACACTGCAGCTTCAAGAATTTATTTAGTTTTCTGGGTTTTTTTTTTAGTTCACTGAACACTAGCTTGATAGTACAGCATGAGAAACCTCAAGCTTCTAAATTACTTGCAGTGAGATTTATAGTAGCTATTGCTACTCCTGCAAATGATGTCTTCAGTCATTCTGTGAAATGCAAGCTCTTCCTTAGTCTTCCTTACAAATGGCCATTCATCTGACTAGTGTATGGGAGACTATAATCACAATCTGTGTAGGATTTGAACATGAAGGCTAATTTCAGATCTTAGAGGATTTTGCTATTAGGAGCAGTCCTTCCAATGAGCCTTCTCCCTTCTCTTTACCCACTGAGTACAGAGCAAGCATAGGCTAAGGTCAGCTCCGCTGAAAACCCAGTTTAAGATAAACCTTAAATACTGGTTACTCTGTCTGCTGTACTTCTCTGTATCGTGAGCCAACACACATTGAAGAATGCTCAAACAGGTCTTTTGAAGGTAAAGTGTCTTACCAAAATCAGCTGAGGCCAGATGACAGAGAATTCTTCTTTAAGAATGAATCCTCACAGTACCTTCCTCAGTTTTTCCCTATTTTTATCTGACATTTCAAAGTGATCACTGACAAGGAGGTGAAACAGCTTCCTTCACTCAGTTTTCAGAAGTACTTCAATTTTCTTCTGAGACTCCCATGCAGTCCTTCCCCTAAACTCAAAAGAGACCCCATTTTCCAATACTACTTCTGACATAGCCTGAAATACTTCCTATAGTCTCCTCAGCAGCTCAGGACCAGCTGCACAGTGCTGAAAAGCCTGTTCTCCTTATGTTCTTTGAACCTGGACCAGTGTCTCCCCAAAAAGTCTCAAGTGTGTGCTCACTTCCATTTTTTTTTTTGTTTCATGCATGCATTGTGAAGTAGTTTTAGGACAAAAGGATTATGTTTTATAACATCAACTTTGTGCTTAGCTTCTGATAAGACTAGCCTCCTTCAGTGTAAGTTCTACATTCAGAACAAGGCCTTACCTACAGTTACATTGCTCAACGGTTCTTTGCAAAAATTTTATTTAGCTCAAGCAACATATGAAGTAAAAAATGTCTAATAATAAGGAAGCAGCAATATTGAATGAGTGATAACTAAAGCACCTGAAGGAAGAGGGTTTTTTGTTAAAGATGGCCACTATCAGTATTTAGGTCCTCTTGAAGAGAAATTACAATCCTCAAAGAAATCATTATTCCAGTTATGGAAAGTGGCTCTGCCACATCTTGCAGATACCTGTGTTGAAAACTGTAGGGAAGGGTACATGATACGACATACAGAATCTGTAGCTCATCTACAAAAGATCTATTACTGGCTAATGTTTCATGTTCTTGTAGACATTGTTCACAGTGTAGACACTGCTATTCCCAGAGTAAAGCAGCACTTTGATAATCTAACTTTTTTATTACCAGTTCTTGACCACAGTCTCAAGATTTTATTTTTGTACTGAACCTTTATCACTTGAAATCTCTTTCTAACAACTGCATGAGGAACACCTACTGCTTAATTAATTTCCTAAGTCTCTGCAGTCTGTCATAAGTTACTGACGTAGTAAAAGATTTCTCCTCTAACTAGAAAAATTCTTACTTACCCTGACTAGTGGTTCTTCTATGTAGGAAACTGAAGACTTTTCTCACCTCCTTAGCTTATGCTAGTTTGACTCAGAAAATGTGTGCAGTGGATTGAGCAGACAGGGATACGAAGGCAGAAGCTTGAAGGACAGAAGAGTTAGCATTATGAGCTTTGTATATACAGTCTTACTGATACAGTTCTCCAAGCATCCTTTATCTTCTTGTACAAAGAGATTAGAGAAAGGCTCAAATGCTTACTTGTATGTCAAGCGCACAGTCAACATGTTAAGAATTCAGTACAGTCTTTTAAAATGGAGTCTTCAGCATACTCATGCCTTGAGGCAGACAATTCAGCAGCTATTTTAAAACACAAGGCTTGACTGTCTTGTTACTCTTCACTTTACATTGTTCATCACATTAAGGCAAAAGACATAACGGTGATTTTTCCATCTTCCCTTAGAAATACTGATCCCACCAATTAGTTCATCCCACAGCTCCAGTGACAGACTGATGGGAAAGTTCCCTCTCTTACAAATATGCTAAAAATAACAGAATTGAACTTCTGAGATTCAGATTACATACAAAAAACAAGTCCTTGTAAGTCCTTAGATGCATATCATGTAGAAAGCATAGCAAGTTCCTAGCTTGCCAGGCATCCATATAATGTTGTGAAATTAAACAATAAGCATATCAGCTCAGTGTACACAGCAGCTAAATAAGGTACAGCAGGAAAGAGCTCCCACAGCCACAGTATGTAGCAAAACAGAACTGGTACTTTTCCCCAACCCTGTGACTCCCATCCTCATTTCTGAGAAACATGGAGCTCCTCAGTTACTGCATTTAGTATGGAAAACAAAACTAAAGAATAAAAGGCTTAATTATTTTTCTTACTAAAAACTATGCTTTAACATACTCTCCAAGATTTTTGGAACAACCAGAGATATGAAGGAGAAAATAAAGATACTAGACGTGGAATCCAGAATTATAATTTCACATCATTTTGAAGATGCGTAATTTAAGTATAGGAACTGTGTGTTTTACTTAAGCTACTTAAGTAACTGACAGTCTGTGAAGAAACCATTAGGAAAACTGAAAACCAGGCATCAGAAGATCTAGAGGAAAAGCTCTCATGTGACTGCTACAGGACAATGTATCACAGCTGCAGTATCAAAGGCCAGGAAACTATTGAGTAGCTATCCTGGCCACTGTGCAGTCACAGCTTCTCACACAGGTGGTCAGAGCCTGAATCTTGAGCTCCTCCTCAGCTCAGGGTGTTGAGCTGTAGGGATATCATGCAGTGAAGGTCATTCATCACTTTTTTTTTTTACCGAGAAAGAATTGAAACATGACTACAAGAAATTATAATGGATGCTAATATGTCTGAAGTACTCTGAAGACATTCATTCCTACAGTCACTATAGCAGGATTAAAGCACAATTTTTACAAATCATGGTCAATTGTTAGAATCTTTGTTTGTGCTAAAAATCTGGAAGTTAGTATCAAGATTAGGGATAAACACCATGCTTTTTTTTTTCAATTATGGGTTATTTCTAAAACTTTCTGCCAGGGTAGGGTTGGACAAGAAGGTGTAAGTGGGGTATATTCAATGCCAACTCAACAGATAATTTCTTGTGGTGGAAAGAGAAAAATGTGGTAGGCTTTGTACAACTATCTGAACAGAAAAGT